AGTATATGTTTTTGTCGATTGTATGTAGTATGCCACTCCAAAAGCATGGGTTTCTCCAACCATTCCAAGGAATTGTTGGGGTCCTTTTGCAACAGATCCATTTCACTCAGGCAACAAATTGTGACCAGTTGGATCGATCTTACCAGTTTTGCCGCCGAGCAATGCATCAACGCAGCAAGCCCAGCCTGTCTTGAAAGGTTTCTCACCCCAGACATGCGCAAAGGAGTTCACGGCCGAAACGCCATGGATGCCCAAGAGCAATCGAATCACAAAGCCCCACACCACAAAGCTCCATCCATTTCCAGCTACTTGGCCCAAGCAAAACAAAGCCAAGACCTGACCAATCTGATGAAAGTAGTAGGTCTGTCGTAACCAATCATAAAATTCCGGCGATTCCTTGTAGAACCACGGGATGAGATTCCAACTCTCAGCGCTCGAATCTTCGGTCTCGTTGTTGTGAGATGCCACGATCGCCTCCGGCATCTTGGACAAGACCCGTTCCTTCTCGAAGAACCATCCGGCATGCGCCGTCCAGAGTCCTCATCAGCGAAACGAGTGGAACGAGTGGACCGGAACGAGCGACAGTGGATGACACTGGATGACACTGGATGACACTTGTAATTGTATGTAATTGTGCTAATTTAATCTAAGTTACATCGTGAAACTGTCCAAAGACACAGAGATATGAGAAGATCAAACTTTGTCTCTGGAGGCACAAGAAGATATTCAAGATCCTTCCTTTGCTTGTGGTTATTTGAGCCACGGAAATTTTACACATAGGAGGTATAGCTGACACAGATGTCATTTCTCCCCAAGCTTCTGAATACCTGTAACTAAACCCTGTGTACACCATCCCTCAACGTCTCGCCCGGGCCTTCCCTTGGCGTGTGGGGATCCAATGGCGTATCTGAAAACCTTGGTTTTGCACATGGAGGTTTCTTAAAGTGGGGGATGCCCAAAGCTGTAGGTGTCAATACTAAAATGATCAAATTTTGGATGATTTGGGGGTACCCCCATTTCGGAAACCCCCACATGTGCATGCAGGGTACTTTCGCAAAAGCTGAAACAAGCCAAACAACTAGCAGACAAAAACAGCCAAGCAGCCGGTGATGCCAGGTGTGATTCATGGCCCACCAAATGGGGTTGCCCTGCATGTTGAGGACACCGCACCAAGCAATAAAATACCTGTGCTTCCAATGCATGGAAATTATGCATACTGGCACCAGCATTAAAAAACAATACTACAGGTTCATGGAGTGTACGGGAAAGGGCATAATTACAGTGATTCTTTCTAGAAATGAGGGTGTTGATTGAACAACATATTTGCATAGTACAAGAGGTATCCAATTCATGTTGTGTTGAGGTTGTGCCAGTGCTGCGCTGCATAAACACATTCCCTCACCACTTCCCAGAAGCGCAAACAAGTTTCGGTGACACACTTGACTAAAGTGCATGCCTACTACAGCAAGACGTGTGCCGAAACCTGCTGTCATGGTTTTGCAGCTCGGAGCTAAAGTGCCATGCAGACAAGGCTCTCAAAGTACTTGTGGCACTGAAAGCTGCGATGGGTCAAATGCCGATGGTAAGACAAAGAAATTCCCAGTGTTTGCAGCACTACAAACAGAGACAAACATAGTCCAAGAGCGGGCAACGAAAAAGTCGAAGGTCCACCTGAGAAAGAAAAGCAACTTCTAATCAAACAGAGTTCCATTTCACTCAGTCGAAGACGTTTCTGTACTTGGCACTCCGTCATCTGCCAGTTTGCAAGCAACACTGCTTTAACCACAAGTCAAGACACATGTGAAGGCAACAACGTGCAGAAACAGAAAGTATCCTGCCCGCAAAAAGTCGATTGGATAGCGCTCCTTTGGCTGCTCGTAATCATAAGCTTGAATACCTCCTGTCAGCGGTTCAACTGAAAGTGAAAAAGCTTGGGCCATGGTCCACAGTGGCGTATGGAGGTTCCTGGTGTATAAATACGTCGCTGACCGTCTAACCAGGTTCATGGAATTTGTTTCACTCATGATAGGTGATTGCCAACAGGTTTGAGATTCCGGCAGCTGCCCTGGCTTCTCCTGAGAATGGATAGACATATGATGCTTTGTATCTCCAGGAATTGAAGGTTGGAGTCTCCTGGACCTGCCAAACAAAAATTATCAAGTCTCAAAGGCCAATCACTGCATGACAAAACTTCTGGAAGAAGAATGAGATGTTGCAGATGTTGCCTCCTTGGTCTCCTCCTTGGTCTCCTCCTTGGTCTCCTTTGTCTTCCGGGTTTCCACCCTGGCAGCTGAAAGTGCACCAGCCACCAGCGCCACAGGGGCTCTCCCTTGTGAGGTCCCAGTGAGCCGTGGCGATCTGCCGCTTCCGTCACGGACGCGGAGGATGCGAGGGGCGCCAGGGGCGCGGGGCACAGATTCACGGAGTGGTGAAGCCACCGGAGCCATGGAAGCCATGGAAGCCATGGCGGAAGCCATGTTTGCCGCGTAGCAAAATGTTGAGTTCTGCATGGTTTAAAGATGACGATTTCTTCAAAATGTGTTTAAACATGTTTAAACAACTTAAACAAATTGAGAAACGTTTTGATGCTGTGGTGGGTGTTACTCAGTGGTTGGTTCCACTCCGTCACTATGCGAATGGTTCTAGTACGTCACTTAGTATGTCACTTCCGAGCTTTAAGCTCATTGGGAATTTCCAAGCACCTTTGAACCTATTCACAACATATCCGAATCATGACATGAAGAAAGTGTGTGGAAACTAATGAGGGTGCCATTTGAGCCAGAGTCAAGTTTGCAACACAACAAGACAACACACTGAACACACTTGTGTTTCTCCAGCATTTATGAATCGCAGTTGTAGGAACCCTCCAAGACACAGGGGCCTGGGCCAGGGAGTCTGCCAGTTGTGTAATCTCTGCCTCTGTCTTGGCCTCAGCCGTGGAAAAACGTCAGTGACGAAACGATAGCCCTGCACTTCACATGTGTCTATCATTTTGCATCATTTTCCATAATATGTTCCATCATTGTTCCAAAATTTCTTCCATCATTGTTCTATCATTTTCGAGACCACCAACTGATCAAGAAAGAACCAGACCACCGCATCAGTATCGTTGCTGAGAGCCCCAGCACGCAACATCCCAGGCACCGTGTCCAGGAAAGCATCGATCCGCCCCAGGACCTGTCACCAGGAGATTTTCACATGAAGTTCTTGCCTGGAAGTGGCGGATCAAACACCAAGAATTGCCATATCATGTTGATATTGTGTATGTATATATATATATATGATTTTTTATGTGTATATATATATTTTATATAATTATATGTATATAATTATAGAGAGAGAGAGGGAACTATCCTGAAATTATGATGGTTCAAGGTGAATCATTGGGCCCCATGGCTAGCTGCTAGCTGGTTTAATGGGGGTTGCGGACTGATCCCAGTATGAGAAACCATATCAACAAGGATCAACAAAGATAGAAACTTTGGTGCAAACCCAGCACCAATAGATAGCGGCTGATGCCTCCAGCGCGCTCTTGGCGGCACCCTGCACCACAAAGACGATGCCTGGACGCAGAGAACGACAGTTTCAATCTCATGGGTCCCACAAGATGTAGGACATGAATGGACATGAGACAAAATAAGTTGAAGACAAATCACAAATCAAACTCTTTCCTTCCAGATAAGAAACAAATCACACTGTGAATCAACGACCTTCAGAAACTGAAGACCGAGGAACCGAAAACTCCTTCGTTTCGGTCTGCACGGCATGAGACGATGTAGCCCAACTGCTCCCTCGTTCGAAGCTGCTCATAGAACCTAACTCAGCAAAAGTCCCAAAAAACACTTCCTTGTTGCTGATCAGCTTTCCACTTTGAATCTTATCCGTTTCATTCCCTTTCATTCCATTTCATTCCATTTCGTTCCATTTCAGCATTTAACATGACTCCTGTGGACAATAGATTGACGAACAATAAAAGCAGTAATTAATAGTTCACCACATCATCTGCTTAACATTGACCAAGTGGCTGATCGCTCATGACCGATGCCAAGACCTACGATGCGGCAAATACCCCAATATCCATGTGCCAAGATTCAGAGTATCTGGTTGATCCACTTTTATCCACTTTTGATATGTTTTGGTACTATATTGCCACATATTGCTACATATTGCTACATATTGCCACATATTGATTTTAAGTGGAAGATGGATGATGATGGAATGTTTATGGATTGCCACATATTGGCAATTGTTAAATGGATATTGCTTGAATCTCTGTGGTCAACTGTCGAAATGACGCCTGCAGCTCGGCCAAGCGTTGGAGCTTTGCTGCATCACCTCCACGGGTGGTGCCTTAGCTTCGAGATGAAACTCATGGAATCGACAAAAATGAAGCTGTAGTACTGTAGTATTACTGAATTATTACTGTAGTATACTATAATCTCTATTTACCTATCTACCCATCTAACAACCTAATTACCTGCCTAACTACCTACCTGCCTACCGAAATTTGATATGAAGAAAGTCATCTTTCACTCCTATTTTGAAGACTTGTGAAATTCCCCCACCTCCTTGGAACAGCACTTCCACCGCAGAGTTCTCCTGCAGCAATGCCAGTTCTCCGTGCCATGGACACGCACACAGTACTCTCCGTCCTCGAGTTTGTCCATAACATCATGGACCAGAGCAACTCCTGGCATGAGGAAGCCATGGAATATTATTCGATGGTCCACTGTGCTATGATGCGAAAGGAGGGGCATGAGGATCTGTGTATGTGTGTAAGTATGTAAGTATGTAAGTATGTATGTATGTATGTAAGTATGTATGTATGTAAGTAAGTAAGTAAGTCAGTAAGTAAGTCAGTCAGTCAGTCAGTCAGTCCGTAAGTAAGTAAGTAAGTAAGCCAGCAAGCAAGTAAGTATGTATCTATGTATCTATGTATCGATGTAGTATATCTATGTATCTATGTATCTATGTATCTATGTATCTATGTATCTATGTATCTATGTATGTCTGTATGTCTGTCTGTATGTCTGTCTGTCTGTATGTATGTATGTAGGTAGGTATGTATGTATGTATACAGACACATATATAATAATATATATACACACACACACATCTTGGTTAACCTGAACTGACCTCATGTGTGGCGCCAAGGGCACTTCCAACATGGGCATCCCCCAACAAAATTTCACCCGGATCAAAGGCACACCCACCTGGTCCAACAGGCGTCACTGGCAGTTGCGCCACTCGCGGCTGTGGCGCCTCCTCTGATTTTTTGCCATGAAGGGTGACGGGTGACCATCCAATGACATGCCAGGATATCCCAGGCCCATCACCTCCCATTTCCAGCCCCATGTCGGATCAGCTCCTCTCCGGTGGTACCCGGGGACTTCAACCGTTCTCGAAGCTTGGCCACCAGCATATCCTTGGAAGCTCATGTTCAGATCGGCTCTTTGACTGCTGCGAAGCCATTGGTTAGCCCTCAGGTGTCAGAAAACCTAAACCTAAACGGCAAGAAATTATGAGAAAACCATAGAAAACCCGCAAGACCTAAAGGTATCCCCAAAGTGTTTGAAAGGTTTTCTTACCCAGAAATTGAAGAAACTCATGGTTTTACTGATGGTTTTACCGCTGTCCCAAGGCACTCCCTCCGCAGGTCGCAGATTGCCCCAGCAGAGCGAGGTCTTCAGCTCTCCCCGGGCCGAGTCCCAGAGCTTGGAAGCGAACTGCACCACGTCGGACAGCCTCAGCGGGATGCCACGTCAGGTCGGAGATAGGAAAATCATGGTGGGGGTCAATGTTTTTCATATATTATGGTTTGAGAATATATGTCAATATATGTGTGATGATTTATGATGATGGTTTATGACAGCTTATGATGATCTGTGTAATGGTTCGGATTGCCTTTTCTATGACTGTTTGCGCCGTTCGAGGTTCAAAAAGCATTTGTCAATTTGCTTTTACGATTGGTAAGTGGCGAGTTCTGTTCCTGATTCTTGGGGCCCACCAAGTAATGTTCCTGCTCTTGCAATGGACAAAATTGTTGAGACATAGTTGATAGTGGAGGTCCCCAGTGTTAGAGAACACATTAACATGTAATATTACATGTGTATATATATATACATATATATATACATATATATATATACATATATATATATATACATATATATATACATTATAAAATAGATAATATATATATATATACATGAATAATGTCAATACTAGTATATAAATGTTGATTCGGCAGAAATTCCAGATGTTGCCCTCGTTTTTCCAATCTGGAAAGGTTGTCCAAAATAATCGCGCTCAGCTCCAGCAACCGGATCTCCTTTGCTGATCTTTGCAGCTCCTGCAACGTGGCAGGAAGGTTGTCCAAAACGGGGCGATTTACCCTGAACTTATGGCCAGTTGAGTGCAAAAGGGAAAGGTCAAAGGCTCCTCAAGTGAGAATTCCGGCATCACCAGAGCCAAACCTGGCTTGTTCTCCAGTGTCTCACACAAACATTGTTGGTGACTGTCAAACAAGTGCCAATATTCCAACCAAACTGGATGGAAAATGCACGAAAACGGGCCATTAAGTGGAGACTGTGGAGACTGACTCAAACATATTGGAGTCCATCAAGCGAAGGCAACTCAACAATGACCCACAATCTAGCCTGCCCAATAAGCCGCTTGGCTGATGGGAGGCTGTGACGCAAACGACTCCTCTTGCGGCAGAGAAATCAACTGTCCAAAAAATGTGGTCGGCAATCAGCAACAATTGCCGCAAACAATCTGGAATGACACCAATACAATCTACCTAGAGTAATACATGCCAATACCGAAATAGAAGTTGAAGCCCTTTGCATCACCATGGCTCCATCGTTCAGCTACTGAAGCAACTCCCCAGTGCTCTCCAGCTCTCGACGAAGTTTGTCCTTTTGCACTTCGAAGCCTCACATTGGATAGTTGCGAGTTGTCCACCCGCTAAAAAAATACGGAATTCATCAATTGAAGAGAAGCAGAGTCCTCATTTTCTATAGATATCCGGGTGTGGGACATTCTATGTATTTTGCATCAGTCTCCAACCCACATGTAAATCCAAAAATGACGAGCCAAAGTGATGTAAGTCCCAATGCGAGATTTCAGACCAAGGCCATCAGCCTCTAGATTTCGCAAAAGCTGTGCGTGGGTATGACTCGGTACTCAATATTGCAATGTGTTCGTCACATCCCCCAGTGTCATCTTGATAGGTTCGATTCTACCACTCTTGCAATCAATTTATCCCCCTGTCATCATTGAAGTAACGTTTAAAAAAAAACATTTCTGAAGCATCCAGTGGTTTATCATAATTTTCCCAATTAAAATGACCATTGCTGTCCCCAGCATCCCGTCATGTCCCGTCGCCTCCGGGTGCCCTGTTTGGCTCAAAGCTCAGCACCGCGTCCATGGCTTGCGACGCAAAGTCCGCCAGGCGGTCGTCGAAGCCACCAAAGAAGAGCTGTCAGAGGTCACCATTGGAATGGATTGGTGGGACAATCTACAGGAAAACATAGGAAGACTATGCTTTTCCCTATGAAATATATTGAAATATAGGGTTTTCCTGTCAATTTTCCCTTAAACCAATCCATTAATTCGATTGGAATACGTTGGCTTGGGATATCTTGGAAATCGGTGAGAATCCGCATCGGGGAGTTCTAACCATCAACAATTGGGATTGATCAATCTACCGGTTACCAACGAGCTGAGCCATGAAATTCCCAATAAACCCGGTAGTGTAACCCCCTATGATGACCGATCAACAGTGGATTTCTCTCATGGCTCAGAAACCAAATGGATATTTCCCAAGGGGGTACCCTGAACCCATGAGTTTCAATGCTAAAACAGGAAGAAAATGTTGATTCTTTCGGGTGCCTATAGGAAACACCCAGATGCGGTTTAACCAAAACAATTGGCTTCTCCCAGTAGAACAGATTGTAAGCGCCAAAAAGTAGGGATTTAAGCACCAGAAGGAACATGTTGAGGATTTGTACCGATAGAAATGGAGATGGTGCGACCGAAAATGGAAAGTAAACAATTATTAGCTGTAAACCAGCTAATAATGGGAATTACAGTCACCACCCAGCAACAGAAATGTTAAGGAGCTGATGAAGCGCTTGCGGGGAACAAACATTATTTCTAGGGATTCAACAATCATCAACCAGGAGGGTTCTACCATTGCTTCGCTGGGAAAACTTCAAGTGGAAATTCCGGCATCTGACAGTGAAACTCCACACCTGCACTCCGCGCGTAGAGACCGAGAAGTTAAAGGCGAGGCCTGGCTTGGGCAGGAGTTGAGCCTGAAAGGGGGTCTTGATCCCCAAGAGCCTCTTGCGATAACTGCCATGCTTTGGTCAATCACAGTGGGCTTGTGCCTGCCACCTGTGCGTCATAAAGGAGTTTCTCCTGGAAAGCGGATGGATGGTCGGCCATGGCGGCCGGCGATAAAGCGAACACTTCTTCTGGTCTACAGATGTCTACAGTTCATTTCAGTCTCAGTTTGTTGTTCAGTGACCAGCAAGCTTGGTTCATATCCAAATGGCTCCAAAATATGTGGGAAACTCAATGCTATAAAGCTACCAACCTTGTGGATGGTTTCATTATATCATCCATAAAAAATGGTGACCTGGGGGGTGGTGTTTGCCATGTCAGCATCAACTCCACCTGCAAGGCGCCCAGGCACATCGCCTCATAGATCCGGGCAGCCACGGCATTCTTCCCATCACCTGACTTTTCGCTGAGAATCCCATGGTTGATCCAAGTTGATCACCTTTTTTCCCAAAAATGCCATGAAGATCATAAATTGGAGTAATTTTTGCTACTTTGAAGAAGACAAATGGACAGGTAAAATTCCAACTGTCATCCTTTTAGCTTGCATCCTGGCGACAGCAGAGGATTGCTGTGGGTAGTTCCACGAAAACGAAAGCCTTCGGCACGCCATACCTGGGCTATGGCGCCATAGCATGGGCAGTCAAAAACCCTCGAATCAGAAGCTGCGTCCTCCATTCCTCCATTGCGACCAAAGTGCTCAGTGTCTTGCCTCGGTACGTGTGAAGCTGCAGAAGCTGCAGCTTTGCGAAGTGTATGTGTACAACGACACACCACTGAGTGGCTACTGGTTCCGAAAATGGAACTTTTTCAGACGCCAAGTTCACAGGTCATCCACCTGACTCACCTAACTCACCTGACTCACTTGACTCCGCCTGGATTTCCCCATGGATTCCCAGTTCCGCCACCGAGGTGCCGAAAGTACGCCTTCCAGTCATCCTCCTGACGCAGCCTGGGTCCCTCGAAGGCCTTCGATAAGCCATCGGGCTGTTGCCGAGGCGCCTGGAGCGAGGCCATGGCATCGGAAACTGTGCATTTCGGGATAAACATTTGTATATGTATCTACATAGTTGTAATATTAATGTAAACATACAGACATTACATAATATGTTCATAACATTACATTACATAACATTACATTACAGAACATTACATTACAGAACATTACATTTACATACATACATACATACATACATACATACATACATACATACATACATACATACATACATACATACATACATACATTACAATACAATACAATACAATACAATACAATACAATACATTACCATACATACATACATACATACATACATACATACATACATACATATATACAAATATATATATATATTATGTACATTGTTCTATACTATATATATACATTATAATGATGTACATGTATAATGTATGTATATATATATATATACGTATATATACTTCAAACAGTTGGCACCTTCAGCTCCAGTTGTCTGGGCAGGAATGGATTCGGAGGAGGCACACCTGCGGGCTTTGTGCAATGCTGCGCAGGTTTGAATTATCCAAAAAGGAAACAAGATGAATTGTTGCCCATGCCAATATACCAATAGGTAGCTAGCAGCTAGGTGGGTAGGTAGGTAGGTAGGTAGGTAGGTAGACGGTAGGTGCATGTGTATATGAACATACCACTTTTATACCCACAATATGAAGGTTACGCAACTGCCAAAAGACTAGACCGCATGTCGGCAACACCGTCTTGCCTAGGCCAGGAGCGACCTTGGCACTCTGCCACTGCTGCTTGAGAGATTGTAGGTCTCTGAAGCCATAGCGCGTGCCATACCTGCAACTCTTGAGGAGTCACAAAACCAAGTGTGCAAGCCATGCAACTTTCCAAGTCTTCAATCTGACCGCACATGCCAAATTCTCAACTCTGGTTAATATACCGTAGTTCTCACTGATAATGCTGAACAAAAAAGAACTTCATCCATGGCCATTCGATCAATTTTCTCTCCTGTGAGGCAAGAGACCACTTCTCCGTCTCTGGTCCCTTGCAACTGCGCGAAACCACCTGCAGCTGCTGCAACATGGCCCCAACTGCCCTAAGAATCAGCCATACTGAGTGCCCGGCCGTGACCAACGCATTGCTTGGCTGCAAATTTGCCAAGAGGGCTTCCACCGTCCCTGCAGGGTCACAGGTCACACTTTCCGAGTTTCAAGGAGAGTTGTCCCAAATTGTCCCAACATCCTGTCCCATTCCAAGGTCAAACCAAATTACAAAACATCTATAGAGAAAACCCTCGTCTGGACGGTCCACCTTTCAGACCAGGCCCATCTCGTAGCCGCGTGTTCCCAGCGACGTAATCACGAGGAAAGGCCCAATCCTGACACTATCCATTGGTGCACTCACAAGTGAGATGACCACAAACCAATTTCCCACAGAGTTTGACAAAAGCTGCAGGCGCATGATGTTGGATGAACTGAGTGTGATATCAGCTCTTGCCGCCATCCTTTTATACCTTGTAATCTTCAAAGCCAGTAACTCTCAAAGCTTAGATCTTCCCCAAAGAAATTTCCACCTGACCCATACCCGCCATACCCGACATACCCGACCTGCATAGCACCAGAGAGTTCCACCGCTGCATCTTGTGGTCCTGGCTCCTCACGGGTGATCCAGCCGCACTCCGAGAGTCGCAGGTTCTCCACCAGTGACTCCTGAAGGACAGCCACTGCGGCACTGCGATGACTCAGGGCTCTCTGGCAGCATCTGGCAGCATCTCCTTGGGGAATTCTGGCAGCTGCCTGAGGAAGTTCAAGTACCCGAAGAGAATCTTCAAGATCTCATCCTTCCAAGGACACCAGGGCATACAGCAACTGCGATGGTTTCACTACGTGCCAGTTTTGCAACATGAAATGACCTCAAAGATCCAAAGGATGCACAGGAACAAGAACTTAGGTCCAAGGGTCCTTGGGTTCTGGTGACTGATGCAACTCTCAGATCTATCAGGTGATCCTCTGTGAGTTCTGTCCTGTTTTTTGAAGCCTTCCGCTGTCAGCTCCATGCCCACCAGCCTGGCCAATGGGCCAATGGGCCAATGGGCCAAGCTCCGCGACTGTGGCGCTGGCATTCAAAAGAGCCAGCTTCGCATCATCGCAAAGGTGCTGGTGTTGTCCGCACTGCCGGTCTCCAGTGCAGTGATCCATCCTTACGGACCGAAGTTTGGAGTCGAAGTTTTGAAGACATTATTTGTTGCTTCAAATATACATAATATTGTGTATATTATTGTGTATACAGTATATATATATATGTGTATCAAAATGGCCGAGAAGAAATCAATCACGCCTCGTTCCCGCAGTAAGGCAGTGAGGCTCTGAGCTCCTTCATGGCCCAGGACAGCACCTACCTTGTCACAGCAAAGACTGATTTTTTATATTGTTCCCCTTGTGGCTATTTGGTGAGTCTGTGGCATTGCGTATTCTCCATTCAAAACAGACATGGCCAGTCTTTTTTACAGTCCAATCCCATTCCCATCTGCGGCGCATGAGAGCTGGGATTGTACCATCGCCAACTCGCCAATGTCATGCCTTGGCGCATGGCCGGATCATCCCAGCCCAGCAAGGCGCTTTCACCAAACTCCTTGATTCACAACATTTCCCACATTTACGATCATTTACGTACTAAGTGTGACTTCACAACACCAATCCAGACAATCCAGATTCATTGAGTCATTGAGTCATTGAGTCACCACAAGTTTCAACAGCACCCGGGGCCCGGCACCATCTGCCGGTGGAGCCGCTGGAGGCTCCTGCTCAGCCACCACGTGGCTGCTCTGCCGGAAGCTGATGGGGAAGCCCACCTGTCGTGGCTCGGTGACACATTCGTCATGGGTGACCCATGGTCCCCACGCATGGTACCCACGCCTGTAAGGACAGCGCGTCTGAAATGGGAACCACTTCCACACCTGCGATGGTCACCGATCCGGAGAAAAGATGGTCTGAAATGGCACAGAGAACAGATTCCATGACACTTTGCTCGACTTTGCTCCGGGCCCAATGAGAGCCTGCTTTGAACACGCAAGTATCAAGCTGCAGAGATCGAATCCTATCCTATCATACAACCATCAGGTTAGGTGATGCTGCATGAACCAGTCAGCGTCGATGTCCAGCCTTTGTCAAACGCAGCTGGTAGGAACAGTGGATCTTTCCAATACTTGGACTCCGGCTCCACTGCACCTGGAGAAGCAAACATCACCAGCGATTCAAGTCGGCCTTGGACCGGAATCAAATCAAAATATGTGTATTTTTCTATGCATGGATGTATATATATATGTATATATATATATATGTGTACATACACATACATATAACATATACACAGTTGCAATTGTATACATATATACATATTCTATATCATATATATATACACATATAGCTCTATATTTACAAACTACGATGATTTCGTTCCGGCCAAGTGCAGCTTTGTTGTATACATATCATACATATTATACATATTATAGATATTATACATGTGTATATATATATATAATTACACATATTATACATATATATATATACAATTACACATATAGCTCTATATTTACAAACTACGAGTATGATTTCGTATATCCGGCCAAGTGCAGCTTTGTTGTTTCACTGCCGCCTGAGTCTCCGGGGATCTCGCCAAAGAAGCGCTCAGCATAGCCTCGAAATCAGTGAATCCAATAAATTTACATAAATTTCATAGTCAAATAATGTCAAATTCTCAGGAGTCATTATCAATTATCAACCATACAAAACCATACAAAACATTACAAAACCATACCCACTTGGGCAGTTGAAGCCTATTGGATTTGCCATGTTACCACAATGTTACCTGACAACCTTCCACATCCGCCAAGCATCTGTGCAGCTCAGACAATGGCTCTTTGCCAATGATGCAAAGCGTCATCAACGGGGCGCGGTAAAATCCTTAGAACGACTGGCGCGGTAACATCGAATTGAAACAAAGACAGTCTCAACCGGTGTTTTTCTAATGGGGATACAGCAACAATAATGGTGATATTAGTGGGATATATAGGGATATATAACCAGTCGATTTGCAGTTTTGTGACAAAATCCTGCATCACTTGGATATTCAGCATCCCGTTGGTCAAGAAGCGCTGGTAGTAAGCCAAGAGTTCAGCTCTCAAGTTGATGCCTGCCACGAAAAGAGATCAGAGACGTGTCAGGAACTGAAGGTGAACCGGTGAACCTTAGAATATGTTGACTTCTGCCTTTGGCTGCAGTGTCCTCTAACAAGGTCTTGATATTTCCCGTCCTGCAACAAGACGCAAAAAAAATGCACACATGACCAAGTCAGATCGAACTCTCAGCTTGTCGCGGTCCCGAACCGGTGATATGGATGGGCTGGATTTGCACGGCTGTTGAGAACCTGCACTTCGGTGCTCGAGGATATGCGACGCGGGAAAGGACCACTTGCAGGGCTGTTTTGGCAACGCACCTGACCCAGGCGGAAGACATCATTTGGCCTGGGTGGTTGTCCACGCGAACCCCCAGGATCTTCTCTTGGCTCCCCGAAACTTTCTCAAACGTAAGACTGTATTCAAAAGAAAGAGATCACAGCAAGAACAAGGTGAGGTTTACAATTTTGCAGACTAGTCAGACTAGTAACTACCTGTTCCATTCTTCTGTGCAACCAAACATTTGTCGAGAGACACATTTTTCAGATGCTCACTGTTGATGGCGTTCACCTGACATCGTGAGAGCAGGTATAAACCAAATTGTCCTAAATCATAATGCGGCCTGCACCAAATCGAATCGAACCGTCAAGAAGATAAAATAAAAGATGTGTAGCACATACTTGTCTTGCGCCTAAACAACCTGGCGAGACAACTGACAAGTCAGCAAATGCGCACTCAAGCATGTTCATCTCTGCTGAATGTCACCAAGACGAACTAATTTGCCATATATCTGAACCATTGTTCTTTGTATCTTCACTACTGTCGTTTTGAACTCACTGTAACTGTTGTTCACCTCTATCAGTCTTCAGTTTGCTTCCTTCTTTCAGACCCAGAAAAGCATCATCGTTGCCATCTTTGTTTTTATTTCATAAAATTTAATCCGATCAAAATCTTGTTGTTATTTTTCCTCTTCTTTTGTTTCTTCTTCATCTCAATTTGTCCATCGTTTCCAGTATTTCCGTTATCTTCCCATCCCATCCCCCCATGCCATGTGCTGTTTTAGACTATGTCGCTACGTCGCTACGTCGCTACGTCGCTACGTCGCCTCCCGCTCCGTGGCGCTCTCCGTGAAGAGCGGCGCGCGGAAGAAGGCGCCGAAGCGCTCCAGGGCGCCACGCAGCGCGGAGGTGCCACAGCTGAAGAAGAAACAGGTGTCCTGACGTCTCCGTTTTCGGTAAAGGTATGTCTTTGACATATTACTTTAGTGTAGAATAGTGTAGATATCAATACATTAAAACCTAATTCATCTAATTCGGTATATAATATCATATATATATATGTGTGTGTGTGTCTGTATGTCAGTATGTCTGTATGTCTCTATGTCTCTATGTCTCTATGTCTGTCTGTCTGTCTGTCTGTCTGTATGAATAGATGTATGAATAAATACATGAATGAATGAATAAATGAAGTGATAGAACCAGCAAGAGCGACCTTCCAGATGAATTTGGATGACCTGATGTGGAATCACCAAATGCGTGGGGCGTCCTGTACATTCAAAATGATTCAAACTTAGGCCAACTCTGGAAAAAGAAACATATAGAACCATATAGAACCAGCAATCATGGGAAACAATGAGCAACTACTGGAATATCGACTGTGCAATGGCACATATCAACATCATTTGCAGCCTATGGAAGACCTGCAAAGAATCCAATCACTTTGTAAGTTCCAGGAAAAGTCCAGAATAAAGTCGGGACTGCCAAGAATTCAGCCACTCAAGATTTGGCTTAAGGTGAGGTTCGGTCTGCAAGTGCTCAAATCGTCTTGACAATGGTTCTGCAAATGCTCTTCTGGAAACAGATCACAGACAGTAGACAGGTTACATCATGTTACATCCATCATCTTCACTGCTGTTCTACGGTCCTACACTCTTTCGAACCAGTTTTGCGCAGGGGGACAATAGCAGTTATTACGATCCATTTCGCTTGCATCATTTCCTCCCGCTTCTTCCGGTCCTCAGCCTCTGTGAAGGCATTGGAAAAGCCGCTGTTGGCGGTCAGATAGGTATCGAAACCTTGGGCTGAAGACTCATTTCGAGGAAACAAGGAGGTTTTACACAGTAGAGACTATGAAGCCGAGCATGAATGTCGTGTCCTTCCTATCCAAGCAGAAAGACCATTTATAGTCACTGTTCTGGAATCCAGGCTTTCAGGCTGTACCTGAAATCGCTTTAATGATTACTCTTCTTTTGGACTGACTTGTCATTTCCTGAATGTTCATACAAAACAACTTGTAGCTACTAAACCTACTAAACCAGCACACTTTCCTTCGGAAGCCAACACTTCCTGCATCTGAGCATAGCCAAGCAGCTGTTCTCTTCCGGAAATGGCTCCGTGCCCAGGAACAGCATATGTTCGCAGAAATGCGCCAGTCCTGGAAGATCCTCCGGATCGCTGAAATATCCTGAGCGATGGCGGCGTGGCAACTGAGGATATCATCACTGTATCACTGGTAGCCTCAAAGCTCGTTGCCAGTTACCAAAAATTTGGTGCATGCCCAAACAGAGACCCGTTTCCAAAAGTGCTGATCAAGCATGATAAAGCAAACTTTTGTCAAATCCTTTCTCCTCCCCTTTAAACAGCGTTGAACCATTCTTAGCCATGATCACCTTCAGAATGTGGGATCTCAGGTTTCTGCCTACATGCACATCCAGAGCTGCCGCTGCCCGGTCTGCAGCGGTATCGGAGCAGCAAAGCACACGCAAGCCATTCCGCAGTGTGGAAGCCTTGTAGTTTCCTCAAGTTTTCAAAGAACATTAACGTCAAGAAGGAAAAATGCAAGGAACTTGGATTTTCTTGACCCCCGAGATGTTTTTTTCTTGTCAGAGTTAGGGCAAAGCAAAAGCATCTAAGACGTCTAAGAGCAACATTCAGGTCAAGGGAATTTGCTTGTCCCCTACTGCACTCTGCAAAACTGCGAACCAAAATATTTCTTGCAAACTAAAGGGATGACCGTCTTGTCCACCCCATCCAAATGATAAAGCAACCTGTTGACTTTTGCCAAGTAGCGATTGTCCAACGGACTCTTCTCCTTGGGAATGGGTGAAAATTGACTTCCACAAGCAGAAAAGGTCCGATCCGTGCTAGCAGCAAGATCTGAAGCTTCCAAATCACTCCCTTCACGGCGGTTTCGCCACTTTGGGAGAGTGGCCTAGTGCCCTTTGCCAAAATTTCAAAATCACCCATTGATTTGTTCCAATATCCCATATATCCCTGGATAATGGATAATAATGGATAATGATGGATAATAATTCTCCCACAAAAATTTGTTCCAATCCAGCCACGGCTCCACCACATCGACCTGCACGGCCTTCCCCGGTGTCCCCTTGGCGCGGCGCGCAGCAGCAGCCGAGGTGGCGGCTGCCAGGGCAAGGCTTAGGCGTCGCCTCAGCTCCCTACGTTTCCATGGCTTTTGTTTGGAAATGTTGGGAGATAATAATCTAGCAATAGGGATATATGATATATGATATATATATATATATTATTCATTCAGCCGCTGCTAGTCACAAGAACTGCACACACACACACATATATATATATGTATATATATATGTATATATGTATATATATATGTATATATATATATGTATATATATATGTATATATATATATATATAGAGAGAGAGAGAGGGCTGGAATTACACCCTACCTTCATTTTAAAAGTATGCCAAACTTGCTTCATTTTGGTGTTGAGGACCACAAAATCCCAACGTCAAATGCTCAGGTTTCACAAGGGATACAAAGGGCTCATCCCCACAGATGTATTATATCACAGTTCATGTCCGTATGTTTGTAAACATGTAAATTTATCTAGGATATATACTGATATATGTACAAGATTGTACAAGTATGCTATACCTCTGCATACCTGTGCATGTATCTCGCACTAAATAGGGACATAAGTGACATAAGCTAACTCCTTGAACTACAGAAAAGTGACCCCTAACCTCCAATTGTCGGTTCAATTGCTCATGACTTGCAGCGGTGGCGAGCTTCTGCCAAGCTTCCCCATAGAAGGCAGGGAGGATGTTGGCTGCACCTGTTTGGGTGGAAAAACTAACATGTAGGGAGGCATGTAAGTCCCTCCAGGTCTGCAAAACAAAACATACATCAGAGCATATCAACTTTCTTGGGACAGGAATTCCTGTCTTCACTCTCCAAACTATGCTCTGCACTTGATCACCGTGGTGTGAACTCTCTACAAGATGTCAAGCCAAATCAGCTGGTTAATCCTGTCTTGAGTCTCAGCAATGTGCTTCAGAAAGCCATGCATCTAAGATGTCATCATATCATTGATCATGTTGCTGCTTTACAAGATGTCAGGAGCACTCAACTCTGCATGGTCGTGCAGCCAAATCAGCTGGTTGATCCTGTCTTGAGTCTCAGCAATGTGCTTCAGAAAGCCATGCATGTAAGATTTCATCATCATGTTGCTGCTTTAGAAGATGTCAAGGCACTCAACTCTGCATGGTCGTGCAGCCAAATCAGCTGGTTGATCCTGTCTTGAGTCTCAGCAATGTGCTTCAGAAAGCCATGCATGTAAGATGTCATCAGCATGTTGCTGCTTTACATGTCAGGAGCACTCAACTCTGCATGGTCGTGCAGCCAAATCAGCTGGTTGATCCTGTCTTGAGTCTCAGCAATGTGCTTCAGAAAGCCATGCATGTAAGATGTCATCATCATGTTGCTGCTTTACAAGATGTCAAGAGCACTCAACTCTGCATGGTCGTGCAGCCAAATCAGCTGGTTGATCCTGTCTTGAGTCTCAGCAATGTGCTTCAGAAAGCCATGCATGTAAGATTTCATCATCATGTTGCTGCTTTAGAAGATGTCAAGGCACTCAACTCTGCAATGGTCGTGCAGCCAAATCAGCTGGTTGATCCTGTCTTGAGTCTCAGCAATGTGCTTCAGAAAGCCATGCATGTAAGATGTCATCATCATGTTGCTGCTTTACAAGATGTCAAGAGCACTCAACTCTGCATGGTCGTGCAGCCAAATCAGCTGGTTGATCCTGTCTTGAGTCTCAGCAATGTGCTTCAGAAAGCCATGCATGTAAGATGTCATCATCATGTTGCTGCTTTACAAGATGTCAAGAGCACTCAACTCTGCATGGTCGTGCAGCCAAATCAGCTGGTTGATCCTGTCTTGAGTCTCAGCAATGTGCTTCAGAAAGCCATGCATGTAAGATGTCATCATCATGTTGCTGCTTCTTTACAAGATGTCAAGAGCACTCAACTCTGAATGGTCGTACAGCCAAATCAGCAGGTTGATCCTGTCTTGAGTCTCAGCAATGTGCTTCAGAAAGCCATGCATGAAAGATGTCATCATCATGTTGCTGCTTTACAAGATGTCAAGAGCACTCAACTCTGCATGGTCGTGCAGCCAAATCAGCTGGTTGATCCTGTCGTGAGTCTCAGCAATGTGCTTCAGAAAGCCATGCATGTAAGATGTCATCAGCATGTTGCTGCTTTACAAGATGTCAGGAGCACTCAACTCTGCATGGTCGTGCAGCCAAATCAGCTGGTTGATCCTGTCTTGGGTCTCAGCAATGTGCTTCAGAAAGCCATGCATGTAAGATGTCATCATCATGTTGCTGCTTTACAAGATGTCAAGAGCACTCAACTCTGCATGATCGTGCAGCCAAATCAGCTGGTTGATCCTGTCTTGAGTCTCAGCAATGTGCTTCAGAAAGCCATGCATGTAAGATGTCATCAGCATGTTGCTGCTTTACAAGATGTCAAGAGCACTCAACTCTGCATGGTCGTGCAGCCAAATCAGCTGGTTGATCCTGTCTTGAGTCTCAGCAATGTGCTTCAGAAAGCCATGCATGTAAGATGTCATCATCATGTTGCTGCTTCTTTACAAGATGTCGTCGTACAGCCAAATCAGCTGGTTGATCCTGTCTTGAGTCTCAGCAATGTGCTTCAGAAAGCCATGCATGTAAGATTTCATCATCATGTTGCTGCTTTACAAGATGTCAGGAGCACTCAACTCTCCATGGTTTTGCGGCCAAATCAGCTGGTTGATCCTGTCTTGAGTCTCAGCAATGTGTGGGGACAATTTTGGCAGATGTTTCAAATGCAAAAGTAAAGTAAATGGAACTTGGTCAGTTGCCTTGAATTATTGATTTGATGACAGTCAACCCAGCCTCATCATTGGCTTGGCACTTTGTTCCCAACCTTCTTGGTTTCTGCAGCCCTGAAGCAGAGAAGCAGGGGCATATCTTTGAAATTTTAGACCCTCCCACCTGGAACCACGTCCTCTGGCAAACGGCTGATGATAGTGATTTTAACATCGACTACATACATTTATGGCTAGTGTATGATGTAGCCCAACCTTTGGCGAGTTCCATTCGATATCGAATGTAAATTCATTGTGCTGGTCTTCCGGCTTTCTAGGGCAGCACTTGCAGGATTTGGGGGAAATGCCCAGCGCCTAATCTTTGCTGAGAGTAGACATGGCTCCGTACCAGGCTGCACCTGTGTTCAGCATGATGCTTTCAGATTCTAACAATTCGAGATAATTCGAGTGACTTGCGTCAATGGTCAAATGGTCAAACCTCCAAACTTGGCCTCTCAGCTGGTAGCACAGACAGTGCCATGGCAGATGGGGGGAACATCTTTCCGACTTCGGAGATCTAGATCCTTCGAAGTTGAAAGCATTTCCGCAACGTTCTTGCCTCCATGTTCACAACCATTCAAGCAACACTGATTGCTCTCGGATGATATACAGCCAGGCTGCCTGCTCAATTTCTGGGCCACCATGTTCAATATGTTTGATGTTAGGAGAAAAGCATCAGGTGTTAGAAAAAAGGACTATTTTCTCTTGAGTCAAAGAACTGCAAGCGTTGTTGCGTAGTTGGGGGGAAGTCAAGATCGCCAATGCCCATTTCAGTTTCTGCCTGGCTCGGAAAACACTGTTTGCAGCCACTTGTGTGCATGTGTGACAGAAGCTTTTTTGGCTCGTCTAAAAATGAATGCGGCAAGAACATAACTCCATGAAACATAGCAAAAAAACTCAACATCCAAGCATGCATCGACAGGATTCCACTGGCACCTGAAGATCTACTTTCGAAGTTCCACTTTGGGCATTACATTTGTAATCGTTATGTTTAGTAATTTATAAAGATAAAGATTTCTTTTTACAATGTACAGGTATCAGTTAGCAGGATGTTTTCTGTAAAATCCGAAAGATTGATACAGACATGGATTCACGATGATGCACGTATCTGTGAGGTGGAAATGCAGGCAGCCAAACGAAATGCGTCTGGTGCACATTCCTCATCCCATATCCTTTCAACTTCCAAACAGAAGCAAAAGGCAAAAGGAAAAGGCGATTGTTTCTGGCGCTCGGAGGGTTTTTGACCCCTGCTTTGCAGGTCGGCCCAGCGCTTAAAACGTCAACAAAGCTCAGACTCACGGGAACTCCGAAAGAGACGTGTAACCGTGTAACGTTGAATTCTGTGGCAGGTCACAGGTCACGGCAAGGAAACAAATGAATTTCAGTTGAATGATTTTGATTTGGCGAATCGATATTGTCAAATATTATCCCTCGGGTCCATTCCAAACAAAGACAGCCCCACGATTCCTTTGGAATAATTTCTGCAACCTGCCATAGCATATGCGCTCGTGAAGCAAATTGGTTGAGAGAAGTTTGCCAAAAGCACAGCTCAAGTGACCTGCCGTGGAGTTCAAATATTCTACAAGTGTTCTAGCACCGGTTGAAACCTTCAATGGAATGGCCAGATGGCTCACGACTTGACCCACAGATTTCACAGATCGGACAACGGCGACAACGGCTAAGTTCTCGCACGCAGTACCTGCGGGAAAAGGCAGGCTGTGGAATTTCTACCTGGGATCCAAGGAGCCATTGCATTCATTGGCAAGCAATTGACTGTGTGTCTAGGACGGCCTCCACATTCTGATCGATCTTCTTGCTGAGTCTGAGAACCATTTGTAGAAGCTTCAATGTTTGAATCGCAGAAATGGGCATGTCCAGAAGGCATAAGTTGAGCAAACCTTCCACAAAATCCTGCTGGGACAACCTGGAAGCTGCGAAGTGACATCACAGTGACATCTGGACATGTTGGAATCTTCTCAATCCCCAATTTAGTTCGATGATTTCCCAGCGAACTAAACCTCCATTTGTAGGGGAATTTAAGCCAGCCGTGTTTGATTACACAAAAATACTGTACACCAAACGATTTGTACATCGTTGTGCGGTCCAGGCTGCAGACTTTCATTCCAAAACGTACCAATCAACCCTGACACTTTGGTTTACATTTCAACTCCATTGGAAAATTCCCAAACTTGACACAAGAAATGTTCCAGCACTACATCACACTCATCAAACCTTCTTTGATGGAGGAGCAATCCTTGCGCTGCCTATGTACTTCCCCCAAAATCCCCAAATGTCTGCAGCTAAGCCGCTCTCCTTTCTCTTCAACATCTAAGAAATCAAAAAAGTCGAGAATGCTGCCAACGCAGGCCGAATCCAGCAGGCGTCGTGGCAAAAGGTTATCATCCACAATCTCCATCTCGTCTCGAGTCAATATGCCACTCTTATCCTCGCCGCGGCTGGGTTTCAAACAAAATCGAAATCACCAAAGCCCGGCGGGTTTTTGCTGTTCTTAGGCCGGTCATGACCAGTCCTTGTCAAGACGTTTGAAGATCTCCAGCAATTCAGGAATGGCCTTTGCAGGAGATCTGGTTTAGCGATCGAACCTACAAGAACTTGTTGTGTTCAAAAATGTCGGACACTGGAGTAGATCTTATACAGAAAAACAATGAAAACCATGTGCGCTGTAACGGCATCTCAGGATACTTATCTTGGCCTTGATGAGTTCTTTACTTTGGAACTTCTTTGATGTTTTTCATTTTTCCGGGTGGATCTTTAAACCCCTTTAAACCGAAAACCGAAAACATCTGAGTTGGAAATGCTTTTGTGTTTGTCTTTTGTAATTATGCGTTGTACTGCTACCTTTGCCATCCTTTGCCTGGCGGTGTTGATCTTGTTGGAACATGCACAAACGTGCTTTGTGAAGGTCCGTTGCCGAAGAAAAAAAACGGTTTCATACCAAGATTACCAAGGTCTTTCTGTTGAAATCACCTGTTGGCTGCCCTTTGTTTGCGCTACCGAAAAAACACACAGCACAAAGAATAGCTGAGCATCGTGTTGTTCCGATGCTTTCAACAACAACCTTGTGCAACGTTGCTTCCGCAAGGCTTTTGGCATCTGCAATGATGCGGTGTTATGCGGTGTTGCCGTGGAATATTGGAGGGGCATCGTCGATGTCGATGGTTTTGTGCTGTGTTCAGTTGAAATCGCCACACCTCTCTGCAATGGCATGCAAAAAGCTCGGAGGTTTCCTAGAATGCAGCTGACCCTGTTTCGCTCGCCTCCTTCACTTTGCTCTTCAAGGAGCTTCGTTCTTCTTCTGCCTCTTCTGCAGCAGACTCCATGGCATTCCTGAAGCAACATGGCTAGCTGCCTGTTATTTAAAAACTATTTAAAAACACACACACAGGTTCCTCACAGTTGCTGAACCACCCCATTCTCCGTGAAAACAAAAACTCAACCGGCTCCAGCTAAACATTAATGTGTCTTAATGGTCCATCAAAAACGTGCAGTCCGATGTCTCATCCAAGTATCTCCAGCACCACGGCTGTGACTAAGTTCATAAGGCCAATGGAAATCACAAAGATGATGAGAAGAAAGTATAAGCCTCAACCAGAAAGGCCCTGCTGAGACATAGCATTGTTCAAACTCCGTTAAACCAGCCCAATAAAGACACTTTAGAAGAATAAAAATGTGCGATAATGTATGTGATACTTGGTCCACCTGTAGTCAAGAAACATGTTCAATCTTATCGCATGCGCACCAACGGCACTTTTTAGGCCGGCACTCTCATAAACATTCAAGGGACCCTGCACAATAGACAGGCATGGAATGACATGCTGCAGAATCACTCGAGCCTGGCATAGAATCCGAATCTGAATTCCAAAACCTTCTTTTCCCTTCAACACGTAATGACGTAATGACAATCATTCCTCACCTTCTAACACATCCATTCAAGCAATGGCACTCTCATTGGCACTGTCCTGCCAACTAATAGACGTCCAAGATACAAAGGCCTGGCCGCTCCATGATGAGGGGGAAGTAGATGCTTGCGGCAGAATCCAATGTCACAAACTGCATCAGTGTCACCATGGAGAGATCCACACCCCAAAAGTGCCTGACAGAAAGAGATCCACTGTGTGAAGAAATCATTCACCACGTCTCAGGTGAAAGTCTCCAGACTAAAAATGTCAGCTGTCGTCCTCTTCTGCTCTCCTTCTGTCCACAATTGTTGCAGGTCTCACACAAGGTCTCACTTCAATGTCGCACTGGACAGCCCAGTACCGACATTTCATGACATTTCTGCATTTCTGAATAAACCCACTTCCGCAATTCTGTGGACTCTTGAGTCGCGCGCTGGGTTCCCAGAAAATGTAGCTCAGAGAAGACGCAGCTCACAACAAAGTAGCTAAGGGGAAGAAGTAGCTCAAAGAAGAAATAGCTCAGTGAAGAAGTAGCTCAGAGAAGGAGTGGGTCAGAGAAGACTTGGCCCAGAGAATAAGTTCCTGGTAAGGAACATAGCTCAAGGAAGAGTTGCTTCAGAAAGGAAATGGCTCAGAAAAGATTTGGTTCGAAGGAGAGAAAATAGCTCAGAGAAGAAGTAGCTAGATCAGAGTAGGAGAGTATTCAGGAGAGTAGGGCTGCTTCAGGGAAGAAGAGGCTGTCTCAGTCGGTCCTTGGGTCATTAGTCAATCAACCAGTCAGCCATTCCTTCGATTCAATAAATCAAACGCTGTTAGCAACCCTCCCTTTTTGGGCCCTTCATCTCGTACTCCGGCGCGGCCAGGCACTGTTAAACCCGGTATGTTAAGATATACGCTAGCTCAGAATATGTAACAATATATAATTAGAGTTATATATGTCATATACATATTATATATGTATGTATGTGTATATAGATATATATATATATATAGTATTATGGGAAAATGTGTAAAATACAGGAAAATATGCCAGCTAAAATGCTGGCAACTCAGGGGATCACATGTTTAAAATGCTGGCCTTGATACTTGCAGACCATTGCTTTCAAAATAAACACGTGTAAAAAAGTGAAAAAAGCACACGAAGAGTCAGAATCTGTCAGAATCTAAGAAATATGTGTACAGCGCTGCAAAGTCTGAAAAGTCTGAACAAACCAAATTTGCCAGGTGGCTTCCGAACAATTGCTGCTGTTGCTGGAGCACTGGCAAGATACTCGTCCTGCAATGTCTGCAATGTGTAAAGTTCAAGGCCCTGGCCTTACCACACAACGACTTAACCATTTCAGTAAACCATCAGAACCAAACGCAACGACTTTCGGTTCCATCTCTATGTGTCACATCAATGTCCTTGGCAATGAGTTCCACAGCAATGCAAGAAAAAATGAAGAGGCTCACCAATAGCAGCACACTTGTGGACAAGAGGGTTTTGCCAGCCGTGAGAAGCCCGTTGACCAAACCTTGAGCAGCACAGCGGGAGAGTGTGATCACGTAGAAAGATTTTGAACAAGGGACAGCCCAAGAGTTAAAATGCCTGCATACATGTTCCGTCTGCATATACCACTATTTGTTGATGCATTGCATTGCATTACATTTCATTACATCACAATACGTTGCAAGACAGTGCATCAGGGTGCATTACCTTGCATTACATTACATTGAAGTGCATTACATTACATTTCATGAAAGTGCATCACATTACAGTACCATTGCCATTGAATTACCATTTCCATTGCCATTGCCTTCCCATTACCCTTACATTGATAATTACAATTAAAATTCAATAACAAATCCATTGCATTGCAATTACAATTCAATAACAAAGTCCGTTGGATTACACTACAATTCAATAACAAATCAACTTCAGTTGCATTCCATGCCATTCCATTACATTACATGCGTAAAGGCACACATGCGTACATGCCAACATGCGTACATGCATACATGCATACATGCGTACATGCATACATGCATTAAATGCATAATATATATATATATATTATATTACATGTTCACATATCATGTACACATATGTACATTGTACATACACGTCTGTTTGATACTCAACCACTCAGCGGCAACCCATCCTTTTTTTTGTCTCGAGCACACCTAATTTGAATGCATTGTTGGCCATCAGGCCAAAACTTATCCACACGTACTGAGGGCACTTGCAATGTAGTATGTGCGCACAGTACTCGCAAAGTCTTATTCAGCGGTCAGTACTAAGCAAAGTACCAAGAGCGCAGCGCTAATCATCAAAGCAAGTATTGTACTACAGATTACTACAGCTAAGTAGAAAAAGAAGTGGTATGCAAAGGAAAGTGTAGGACGAGTGAAGTCTTTGGGTTGAGGATGGTTGAGGGTCTTTGTAAAACAGCCCAGTCTTCTTTAGTCTTCTTTGAGAAAAGACTGCAAATCAAGGGATTGCAAGATTCGAGGAGCCGCAAAGGGATGAAGTACTTGATTGCCTTTGGGATGCACTAGATTTGTGGGACAAAACCCGTATTGGCGTGCCAAAGGTGACATGTTTTGACATGCTCTACAAGCAAGAACTCATGTAGCCATAGCAAATGCACATTTACAACAAATTGGCTGTCTGCACAAGTGTAGCAGAACCTGCCAAGAAGCGCCACATGACCTTGAAGTGCTTGAACATCCTGGCCCGGTTGAACCCAAAGAACCCCAAAGAACCCCAAAGAACCCACCAGCGATCGCCCCGTGCCTAAGGGCTCGCACCAGCCGCAAGAGGCGAATCCCGCGAACCAGCAGAAACTTCTCAGCCCCAAGGCCAGCAATTTCACCGACTGCAGACGACTGAGAAATACTGAGAAGTGTTTTTTTTCTTTGGGATAGGGGATTGGGATGAGAATAGATGGGTATCGATGGGCATAGGATGCATAGGATGCATAGGATGCATAGGATGCATAGGATTCAAGTTCCATGTTCCGTTCTCTCGTGATCAAGTCTCTCACCTTTAGGCAACTTCCTTCGCTGTCAATATCTTTTGCTTCACGATCAGCACTCTGCTAAACACTTGGATCACTCCATTACTCTCTCTTACTATCTATCTATCTATCTATCTATCTACCTACCTACCTACCTACCTACCTACCTATCTATCTATCTATCTCTCTCTCTCTCTCTCTGTCTGTCTGTCTGTCTGTCTGTCTGTCTGTCTGTCTGTCTGTCTGTCTCTCTCTCTCTCTCTATCTATCTATCTATCTCTCTCTCTCTCTCTGTCTGTCTGTCTGTCTGTCTGTCTGTCTGTCTGTCTGTCTGTCTGTCTCTCTCTCTCTCTCTATCTATCTATCTATCTATCTATCTATCTCTCTCTCTCTCTCTCTCTGTCTGTCTGTCTGTCTGTCTGTCTGTCTGTCTGTCTATCTCTCTATCTATCTATCTATCTATCTATCGATCTATCTATCTATCTATCTATCTCTCTCTCTCTCTCCTACCTGCCAAGCTTCAGCTCCATCGCCCCAGGTTGGATGACTCACTTGACAAATTTTACTCATTCATGGAAAGACCTCGTGTTGTTTCCAGTCCGAGTAGGACGAAGGTAAACGGGCACACAACTGCAATCAAAATGTCAACCGAGGCAGTTATCTCCCACGTCGTCCTGTCATAGGTAGAATCACCAGCGCGGTAAAGCCAGTGATCACCAAGCAAGCATCAAGGAAAAACCAAAAGTCCTAAGCACCAACTGGACACAACAAGTCCAAGAAGTAATGCTGAAACTACTCCTTCCGTACACTGAACTAACGGGTTCATTGCAATCAACTGGTGCTTGTCCAACTCTATGCATGCAACACATGGCAGGGCTCTGTGTCTTGACCCTTGGTAGTTGCTGCATAGAAGCATTGAATATATTGGAGCCGGCTATGAATCTCAGAGTCAGTTCCAAACCTGAGCGAACAGCTCGGCACTGGCCATCACGCCAGTTTCTATCACCTTTCAATACCTTTCATAATATTCATATTATTTTTCTGATGTATTGAGAAATGTGTTGAGTCATTGACTTGTGTCATGTTGCGCCGGGATCAGATCCGAAATTTGATGAAATTTGATCAGCGAACGGATCCACTCCTAGAAAATACGACAGTGTCGTGCATAGCATCGCCTGTATAATTCTGTATAATCCTGTATAATATTGTATATATAATCATGTATAATCCTGAACACTGTATAATTTGCAAGCGAACCATGATTGCAGCGCAGCCCAGCCTACTGGAGGGAAAGACATACCGCAGGGGTAGGCATGGAGGATGCAGGACCAAGCTAAACATATCAAGAGAGTGAGTAACAGCTATTCCTGCGAAGGTCGATGAAACTGACCTTGAAGGATCCTTCGCCAAGTGGCAATAGACCAGCAGAAAGATTCTTTCTGACACCCATGGCCAAGACCATGGTTGAAATTCCTCCTCGTTCATCAAAGACGTCTGAGCTTCCAAACCAATTGTAATAAGATTCACGAAGATCACCTGAAACGAAGAAAACGAAGAAAAAACGACAAAATGCGACACGATGCGACTAGTACCACTGGTACGACTGGTACACCTGGTATTCGAAAACTTGATGTCCAGTAAAGTTTGCCATTGAAACAGATCTTAAATTAATTCTTGCAATCACCAACTTTCAGCCCAGGAACTGAGTCAAACTCTTGATGTTTTCGTTTTGTTTTTTTAACTAAATTTAGCAAGATCTGCATCGGAAGGGGTCAATTCTGTTCTCAGGAGGGTTGGACAGCTTATGAACGAGAACAATCGGCTCCACTTGTCTGTGCATTGCACAACAACATGCTGTAGGAGCATGATCAAAGCCTCCTTAGGCACACTTCTCAGATTCGCTGACACTAGGACCAGTTCGCGTCCATTGTTAAAACATTTGGTCACAGTGCCAAGACGCACAACCCGTGACACACTCGAAGGTGCCGCTCTGGACAATCCTGACCGCACGCCAAACTTAAAGATACTTAAGGTTTACATGTCTTAAACCACCAGCTGCAGTGAACCCCGTCAAACATCATGTGCCCCCATGTGAAAGAATGTGGCGTCAGTGCAACTTACACATCAACAGCTTCACTCAAAGCGCAGCAGCATTTTTCTTGACATTGGGGAGAATCTCTGGTGTCCGTCGCGTGCTGGCTTTGGGCAGGCCAGCAAACGGACTAAGAACTTAGGTTTATGCAGCGCTTATCGGAAGTCCAAATTCACAATTGGAATCCGATACTGTCGTCTGAAGTGTTGGCGAAAGTAACGCGCTAACTGGACCATCTGAATTGCAAGTCGGAGACGAAGGATTGAGCAAACTCGTTGCAACTGTTGTCTGACCAGGTGCAAATGGTTGGTGGCAGCTGGCAGATCAACGTCTTCTGTATAGTCACTCAAGTCGTCCACTTGGTGCAAAATTTCATTGGCTCGGGTGAGTTCACGTTGAGTAGCCAGGATCGGAAGAAACAAGGTCTGCAAATCAGGTTCAACTGGCACGAGAGCCATGAGTATGACAACGGGTGTAGAAAATGCAGTTGGGTGGGATGAAAATTCAAAAATGGTCCATGAATAACATTTTTGACGTGACAGTTTGACATGAAAATCTGCATTGACTTGTCCTGTTTCATACCTGACGAGATTTTCATGTGCTGTAATGACATGCTTTAAAAATGTTTGATGTGAATGAAAAGCATGTATCGTCACATGACGGGTGGCACTTGCCACGTGAGCTTCACTTGAAGCTAAGCGGAAAAATGGCACCGGACGTCACATTCATGAACTGACATCAAATTGCGTTCACTGCAGACATGTATACAAAGTCTACATTCTGGTGTCTTCTGGCATGTAAAAATCTATCATGTTCCATGAGAGTATTCTTACATGTCTTAAACCACCAGCTGCAGTGAACCCCATCAAACATCATCTGCCCCCATGTGAAAGAATGTGACGTCAGTGCAACTTACACATCAACAGCTTCACTCGAAGCGCAGCAGCATTTTTCTTGACATTGGGGATAATCTCTGGTGCCCGTCGCGTGCTTACCCTTGTCCATTGATGGCGTGGCACCATACTGTCTTAAAGTCAACCTGACTCCTTTCAAGGTTCATCCACTTGGCCACTTGGCTCCGGGACAAAGGGTCACTTGGATTAGACTGGCTCGGCACTCGCTCTAGCCAGATTGGGCACAGGTGGTTTTCTTCTAAAGCGAACAGTCTGGTCAACAACTTATGACATGGTTCGTTGCCAGACCACGTCTTAAGAAAGCTCCCCCCGGACAGATTCGCTGTCGGTGAAAGCCACCACTCGGTGACCATTCCAAACAGGACCCCATACTTCTACCGCTACGAGGAGTGCCAACATTTCTAGCTCCTGTATTATGTTTTCCTGACACCAAGCTTTCACAAGAGAAATGAAATCGCTGTCCGCGCTCTCGCTAAAGAAAGCAACAGGCTGGCCGCTGCTGTTGTACATGACCCCACCAATTCCTGAGTACTTGTTTCATCAAAAGACGCGTCAACATATATGTGAATGTGATCGGCAAGAGAAACAACTAATCTTCTCGGGATGTTCGACCGGATCTGATCCCTTATGAGGTTCAAAGCCAATACGGTGTCATCACACAACCTGTTCTTGGAACTGTTGAAGTGGTTGGACAAAATCCGAATGTGATTTCTTGCGGCCCTTCCAAAGAGCTGCCCGCAGGCAAATTGAAGCCTGCCTCTAAGCCTCTCTCCATCTGACTTTCGAAGAGACCGTGAATCGATAACGGCATCCAAACAATCACACAACTCATCAATCCTCTCGTCTGTGTTGTACACAAGAGCCAATCCGTCCCCTGACATTTTGAGGTCGAACTCAACTCCCAAAACTTTGCAGGTGGTATGATAGTCCACTAATTTTCGACTGACAACTTCCATCCCAAGATGTTGAAAAGCGAAGAAAACACCAAGTCAGTATGTTTGCTCATGGTTCTATCCTCGACTGAAAAGAAGTCGTCGAAATAGGAGGACCACATGAGTCCTACCTAACAACCTTGTCCCCAGCCGCCAGATGGCATATGCTACTCTTAAGAATGCGGTAACCGAAGCCACCGACCCAAAAGGTAACACCTTTTGCTGGAACACTTTTGGAACATTGGTCTCGGGACAGAAAACCGCCAAATAGACGTCAAGGGAATATGCTTCATCGCTCATGGGTATCTGTTTATAGGCATCTGACAGATCCCGTGTCTTCGCACAGAGGTCCACCTTCTGTCCGCTCATGCCAGCGCTGCGCATGATGCAGCAAATCAAAGAGGCAATATGATCGACCGTATGGACTCTGGCCGTCTCGGTCTGAGATACGCTGGCATTTACGAAAGAAGCCTTATAGTCGGCAATAGGGCGAACTTTGGATTTCTGTTTCACTCCAAATCGACGTGTCAAAGTAGAGCCTTCAGGTAGATCGTCGGGCTTGACCTCGCCCTCAAGAAAACCTTTGGACACTTCTGTCAAGGTGGCAGCAAACAGTGCGTTATCGAGCTCTGTGTCGCCCGAAGATTTGACTAGGATTCCAGATCTGCCCAAATCAGCAGCCCGCCTAAGCTCTTGGCAACTCATGGTCGCTGGCCGAATTCATGTCCGGCTTCCATCAAGAGGGCTTCCGTCCTGCTCATGGCCACATTGTGCTTATTATGCAAGAATTGGTCTACTACTTCGGTTACTTCGTCGGGGAAAAAGGAATGTATCCTAGTGGGATGCCCTTTTTTTATGGCTTCATGCACGAAGCTTTCTGGTGACCTGTGGACCCCTATGGTGATGTCATCAGTGTCTGTGATGCCTTGGTTGGCACTCGCGACATACCCCCGATGATGAGTGCTCAAACGTCGAGAGTTTTCGGGGAGCGGTGCATTGGCTGGAGGCGACTGCACGGCAACAAATTCAGAGACCATCGGTTGTAGTCCCTTCCTAGGTTGGATTTCTGTGGTGGCCCGCATTGTTTGCAATGAAGCTTCTTGTAATGCGAACACTGGTGGGGTGCAATGATAGCCATCGGCTTGGAGCTGTTGCAAAATTTTCGCGGCCATGGCGCGGCATAACTCCCATGGATATGCCGTTTCCTCAGCAGTGGTCCATCGGCCGTCGGGCAGTTGCCCCCACGGCTCGTGAGGGTGATCGTTTTAGCAAAAGGACTCTAAGGACTTGAATGTGGGTACATTATGGAGACATTTTGTCAATTTTCGACGTGCGCTCCCATACCTACAATGGTGAAATGAAACTTCAAGAAGCTGTGGGTATTTCTGGATCAATGTCTGAAAGGGGTGAGTGAACCACATAAAATGTTTTCCACAGCAAAATATTTGTTTCCCTTCAGGCAAATTTCAAGCAAGTCACAGGTGATAGAGTACAATTTGTTGGCGGCTTGGACCCTCAGGGCCAATGTGCCTTGGAGGCCTGGGAGGCCGTCAGGATGACTATCTGTCCGGACAATAGGTGGGTTCCAACGTCCTTTCCGGGGGATCAACCTGGCACGTGAACTCGTGCCGCAGGATGGCGCGAAATGCACAAAACAACAAAACTCTGACTGGATCAGGCTGACTACTATTGCAAGATGATCATCCTGAGTCAAGTCATATTTAATTATGGGACTTCTGAGGGTCGAAGGCAACTTAAGATCTACTCCAAAGCTGTCTTGAAGGCCTACGGCTCGTAACGAGGCAGTTAGTCTTCCAGACCCGGCGAAGATTTCTATGGCAAACATTTGGTGAAGTGGGTGCCTCTTGGACAGTTGCGATTCACTGCCTCGAGGTGTCACAAGGGAAAAAGGTGGGGCACCCACTGCATCCTGTCACTGGTGCGCTTGTAGACTGTGAGGTTTTTCACAGCCAGGTTCAGCACATAAATGAATTCCACGATTGCAACGTTCTCCTGGTTTTGCTGCTATGCACCCGGTCTCTAAATTATATATATCCCCAGCAAAGTCTCTCGCCCTTTGTGGTTTGCAAATTCTTGTTGATGAGGGCTCGAGGGACATCAGGGCCTCTGCCCTGGCGCCCTTGGTTCCTCTTTCCTTTGCCTTTGCCTTTCTGTGAAGGCGGCGGTGTTGTCCATCTGGTGGGAGATCGGGATCTACGTGGCTGGGCTTTTGGCTTTGGATTGGGTGTCTTGGCTGACACCGGCAACGGCAGCAAGTGAAAACTTACGGAAGGATGTGCAAGAACGTGCTGTAGTTCGACTTCTAAAGAAGACTGTCCTTGCGCATCTCGTTTCAGCGAAGTGATTCGCTCTGCGATATGTAGCCATGCGGCTCTGTCGGCTCTCAGGATCTGTGCAAGAGAAACTGGTGAGTAGTCTGGGGGCGACTGTTGGTGAAGATAGTCAAACAGGTCCGCATGAAAGCTATTCATAACGTGAAAGGAACATGCTTTTACTAAGTCAAAAGCAAGAGCACATCTTTTCATAGCGTTTGAAACTTCCAATTCACTGGATGTTGAGCAGGTCAAGTCAAGGTGGCGGTCGCGAACAACCAGTGCTGCTTGATCTATCGAGATTTCTTTCGGAGCCTTCTTTTGTTGGAGTTCGTGTCTTCTGGTGGATTTGTTTCAGGCGGAAGGTAAATCAAAGTGTCTTTTTCGAGCATGTGCAAAACGAGATCGTAACTTTGATGAGAACACTCTTCTTCCCCTTTGAATCGAATCCCTTCCAAACGAGTCTTCTGGTCCTTGATGCGGTTGTCCCGCTCTGCAGGTGCGAGTTTGGTTTTGACGGCTTCGTCCGTTTTATGCACCTTGTTTTGGAGATCCGCCGACAAAAGAGTTTGTGCCTCGAAAATGAGGCGCCTCATGGATGCAAAAGTTCCCTGGTTCGGCACCACGGCACCAGCAAAAAGGGCTGTGATCTGATCATCAGATGGGGACTCTCCAGGCTGGCATGCTGCAAACGAAAGTCTAGCTAAGGAATCCACACCATTGTTGATGAGTGCGTCGATTTCATTCGCTGTCAGATTCACTTCTAAACCTCGGGATCTCAGACTCAAGCAACGTGCCCATGGCTGGAGGACTATTCAGGAGAACGTATGATCAATTTGTGAATGTAGAGCCGTCGTGTGTGAAGTCTACATGTATTGCCATGGCTCATGTGCGGGCCAAGAGATGTCTCCTCACTCGAGGTTATGTAATGGCTCATGGTCATTGAAGCGTGGTGATTTGATACGTATGTCATGGCTGTCGGCTTGTTCTCTCTCACTTGAGAGTGCGCGCAAAATGCGCCATCCAAAACTGAGCCAAACAACACATGTCATGCAACGATGACAACCTCACTCGAGGTTCTGAGAGCACTCGCTCACCATGGGCACATCTTAGACTGTCTTGTTTTAATCAGAAAACATCACCCCGCAATCCCCGCTCAAATGACCATACATCGGGCCTTTTTACTTCTCGGTTCGGAGCTTCTTGAGTGCCGACGCAAATTGTCCTACCGTTTTGATAGGTTTGGCCACTGAGCAATGCTTGCATCTCCTTATGTCAAGGAAATTTGAGTCTGATATGGGTTCAAATTCGTCTGTTATTCTGACCCCGCAACTGAAACTTTCGGCCCCGCCTGCAGCTACGATATACACGACAAGACTCTTTTTGTTTTGACGGGATCGTCCTCAAGCCCTGAAACTGATCCATCACTGTCGTGTTCGGATGTGTCGGATGTTGATGAAGACGAGCTTTCAGGAAGTGACTTCTCCGGAGCTGGTGGGTCGGAGGCTTCGGCCCTCATGGTGGTCGGATGCACATATGCTAAGATGGATCTTCGATTGCACTGATACCTATCATGCCTGATCTGGTTGAATCAGGTAAAAAGGTCCTTGTTCTTGTTTGTTGAAGAACTAAATCAAAATCTCTCATCAGCTTGGCAAGGTTGTCACGTGCGTAACATTCTGCGGATGTCTTACAGGTCGAATGATGGCCAAGGATGGTTCGAACTTCAGGGTCCAAACCCCACTTGGCACACCATGAAAGTGGCGTAGCTTTGAGTGCCTCACTTCCTGCTTGAGGGCCTCCAGCTCGGCCTTGAGCGACCTGTATTCGCGGTACATTCGTCCCAGCAACTCAATGGTTTCGATATGCAAAAGAAGATGAACTTCAAAGGGCATAGTCTTGACCATGTCAGGGTTGCTTGATGTGGGCAAGGTGATCACAAAATTGTGTCGGGTGAGGTGCTCCTGGATGCGCACGTAGAGCCCGACTTCAGTCACCAGAAAATGTAGCCGCTTCTCTGGATCAAGGGACTCATCCCACGGGCACCAGCGGCTGTTGCAGGCCTCAAGTCTGGGCGCAAACATAAAATAGTGCCCTGTCAACATGGGGAAGATATATTCGTTGACTTCGCATTCGGTGTTACCGAACCCAATGAAAGGAAGCACATGGTCAACTATGGCTTCCGGGTGCTCGGGTTCCACTGAGAAGGAGATAACACTGGAAGTCTGCGAAGAAGCGATGTCGACCACTGACATGGCTGAACTCCCCCGATGATGAAAATTCAAAAATGTTGCATGAATAACGTTTTTGACGTGACAGTTTGACATGAAAATCCGCGTTGGCTTGTCCTGTTTCATACCTGACGAGATTTTCATGTGCTGTCATGACATGCTTTAAAAATGATTGATGTGAATGAAAAGCATGTATCATCACATGACGGGTGGCACTTGCCAGGTGAGCTTCACTTGAAGCTAAGCGGAAAAATGGCACCGGACGTCACATTCGTGAACTGACATCAAATTGCGTTCACTGCAGACATCTATACAAAGTCTACATTCTGGTGTTCTGTGGCATGTAAAAATCTATCATGTTCCATGAGAGTATTCATAATCGACATGTCTAAGGCGTCGTGCTTGCTCACAAGACAAATCGCTATCAACACGAGGTCCTTTGGATTCTCGTTTGCAGGGCGGGGCAGCGGGTTTTGCTAAAGAAGACAGGGTCTACGAGGGTAGCTGAAGGACGATGAGAAAGTTCTTGCTCCACCATTTTGCGTAGCGGACCACTTGCATGTCGTTTTATAGTCTCGGTCACCTCGCGCAGCGTCACATGGAGAAGTCCTATTTGATTTGAATTTTTCCATATGTTTTTTTATATTCTGTTCTATTCATCACAGACTGCGTATCTCCATTTCAAGAATTAAGGTATCTAATCAACAGTTGCCATTGAAGTCGTTTAGGAGGTCTCCCAATGCCTCTTTTGCTAGCAACATCTCTTAAGACTAAAGGACAAAGCAGGGTCTCAGGACTCGTCAATAATTGGTTTCAGAAAATACATGAAAATACGTTCCTAATCTGCAACGAACCGAAAAACAACTTCATGATGTTCACTTTGTGGCACAAAAATGCCCTTGTTTCCACACATGATCACAGCGCCCACGTCAAACCATGAATATTGCAATCGAAGTACCACACTCGTAGCGATTGGCGATCCCGTTTCAGTGTTGATTTCGTCACCATTGCCATCATTGCAAACGTTGCCATCATCGCCATCACTGCCACCGTTGCCATCGGTATCAACAAATGCAGTGTCCATGTCTCCTGCTGGTGGTGCGATTGAAGTAAAATTGGCGCGCCGAGCATCATCAAATTTTGAATGTTCGACGGGCCTTAGCCACTCATCGGTGCGGTGAGCTGGTGCAATGATCTGCGAACACTGCATTGAAGAAAACAAACTGTCACAAGACTGGGAATCCTTATCCCTGTTGTGTTTCCTGTGAAAAACTGGAAAATGGAACCCGCACAACCGTTTCAGTGCCCAAATGACCGACATAGACAGTGAATGGACATTGTGGGGACTTGGAATGGGACACCAATACTCGTGGCACTTTGCGTCCCATTGCAAGTCCCCAACTGGGAAAACGCAATTTTTCATCATTCCTTGCCAAAGTTGCACTATGCAGTTCTGCCAGTTCTCATTTTTCTCGTGTTTGATGTTTGCCAAGAGGTCATCGAAGCATTTCTGCCAGGAACTGAAAATCCCAATGTAAAATGTGTTAAATTTGAATTTCATCATGAACAAACGAAATTGTTCAAATTCGCAAGTGGACATTTTCCTCTGCACAACATACAACTGGTTTGTGAATAATTCAATAATTCACATTTATTTTTGATATAAATTTTCGTATGATTCTTGGGTATAAACTGCGGATCAACAGGAATCGGCCTGCCAATCTCTGTGTTCGTCCCGCAATTTTTCAATGTTCTGGATCGACCTTTCTTGTTGCTGCCGCAAATCGATTAACCTCTCGAAGACTTCTGGCGGCAACATGGCGTCGTCAAGGTGACGGTTTGGAAGAACGAAAGGCAACACACAGCACAGGTGGACCAAAATTTGGGATTTAACCGGTTTTCACAACATATGAAGAGCAGGAAACCATTCAATGATGTGTGACTGCTGTCTTGTCCTTTGCGCAATTTTGACATTTTTACATGCTGGGGCCCAAAAACAGCAAGTAAAGGTTGCATGGTGACACCAACTTATACATGTCGATATATTTTGCCGTTCCCAACCATGCAAAACTGGTTCACATTGTCAAAAACAAATAAAATTACAAAACATGATGGATTCCACCAAATTCAAAAACGTATATACGTAAATTGGCGTCCAACATTCGAAAACAATAACGTTTGCGAAGGAAATTTGCATTAGTGCAGTTTCATTGTCGTTGTATGCACATATAAATAATGACTGAAAAATTGGACCCTTGGTTTTTGCGTATTTTCCTTGAGAGGAAAGCGCCTCAAGATAAGAACTGATACTACACTGATCAAATGTATGTCACAAAGGAGTGGCAACACAACAGAATGCTTTACATGCACTCGACGCAAATGTGTTGCACCCCACCATGCTGCAAATGCCAATGCAGCAGCACGAATTATACAGCCATTTGCGCGGCCAAAATTTCAAAACCCAAGTGGCCTGGTCACTCCCGCTGGGGCGTGGTTTCACGTGCCACTACTTGCCAATTCCTTTAGGGACTGTTGCCAGGTTCCACTTCCTAAAAAAAATGGTCGCCTAGCTACTGAGTGTTGCTACCCACGTCACAAGCTATCTGAGCTGTCGTACAGCATCCACCTCCGGATCGCTGACGTCGCAAAGTTCTGAATTTCCATATTTTCGTGCTCGTTCACTGGCAGTCTCCATCTCAGCGTCACTCTCTGATGTTTCCTCTTCTGCATTCCCTGAGCTGAACATGCGGATCATGGCGTCTGCCACCACGTTCACATGGGCACTGCTGGCTGCAGCGCTTCCACCAGCTGAATGGTTTGACGCACTGGCACTTCCAATTGTATTCACCAACTGTTGACCAACTGTGACAGCCCTTTCAGCATCATCCAATGTTGTGCAGAATTGAGATGTGGACATTCTGTATGATGGGTTTCCTTCGTCATCTGAAATATCTGTCATGCTTCGTGTCATTTGACTCGCTGCTTGCAAGCCTGACACCTGGGTCCTCAGAGCGGTAACCCTGCATGACTCCTCTCAAAACAGCCATCCTCTCAGCGTACAATGTTACAAAGTCCTATGCTGGTCCGTGGTTGCGCTGCTATGCCTCCTGGCGCAGCGCTCGTACATCCATGTAATCATGGCCTCAGGTGACCAATTGTCTCCAGGGGCAGGCAACTCAAAAAACGTGTTGAAGCGGGGCATTCCGCATTCATCCACACCACCCCAAATGGGAGTGCTCTCATGAGAGCTTCGAGGCCAGTGAAAACTGTCACCGTGCGTGGACCAAGAGGCGTTGACACTGGAATGTCGTAGGAGCCCTCAGTGCTGTCAATTGGATCTGCAGCTGTTGCAACATTGTGGGCCACATCCTCGGTCATGTTCGGCTATTATCGGCCTCCATTGTCACTTCCATGGCTGTACCAGCCTCCATGGCTGTATCAGCCTCCATCGAAGTTCCAAACCAACCAAGCAAAGCGAACATGAGGGGCAAGATCATCACCAAACCAAGAACCGCAGTGAAAATGAAAAGGTTCCATCCATGGTCCACTGGGCTTTCATCACTGCAGCCCTTCAAATTCAAGAGGCTCAAGGCGCACACCAATGCCCCACGCTTTCACGTTTGATGAAAACTCTTCCAGGATCATCACCTCCTTCCAGAGCTCCAACATCTTTGCTGTAAAGGCCCAAAATGGCCATCAAACTTCGAAGGCGAGCTGCCGACAAACGTTTCGTTCCAATGTCAGCTGGGTTGACATGGCCGCTGACACTGCAAAGACGGATGGCGCCATTGGCAATGAGTGCCTGAAGCCAAAGCACCCGGCAGCTAAGGTGGCGGAAACGCCCAACTCCCTGCCTTTGCAAGATTCCACGTGCGCCGCTGCTGTCTGTGTAGACATAGATCCAAGTGCGGCGTCCTGTGAGCCAACTGAGAAGCCTTGCCAAAAGCATGGCGTCAGATGAGCCGCTGCTGCAAGCGTAAACTTCAGCCTCTGCAGAGCTAAGGCTTACCACCTTCTGCGTTCGAGATGCTGAGAAAATCATGCATCCACCAAAGAAAATGCAACAGCAGCTGACACTTCGTCGAGTCTGACGATCTGAAGCCCAGTCAGAGACTGTGAAAACTTCAAGAACATTCTCTGACTGCTGGACATCTGGGTAGGCATGGTACATGCCAGGTGTCCTTCCACACCACTTCAAAGACATCGAAATTGATGTGTGGCAGGCCAAGTAGGAGACCAAATGCCTCAGCACCGTTTGGTTCTTCTGCGTCGGCTTGGAGCTGTATGTTGAGATACTAAATCACGTATTGGCAATGAGGAAGATCGTTTGCCAAATACATCAAACTTCCAACGCACGTCCTGAAAGTGGTTGCATCACCTGGGGAAAGATCTTCAGACTTGTCCTCCAGGTCAATGTCTGCATGCGCTGGGTTTTTCTTGTTCTGGTTCTTGGCATTCAGTCCCAGCAAAGAGCACAGTTGTAGCACATGTTTGTGGTGCGTATGGATGGTGAGTCTGCCATCCGCGTGAAGCACATGATGCCTCTTCAGGAAGGTGATTTCATCGCCAGGCCATTCGATGCACTGCATTGAGATGTCATAGACCTTTCGAAACTCATCAGCAAACTTTCCCATCACAAAACTTCGTTTTCCAGCAATGAGAAGATCATCAACGTGAATCATCACCACGCATGAATTGTCCTTTCCCTTCAACACACATGGGTATGGTGTGTGCTCCTCAAGGTCCAAATTCTTTTTCAGGAAAGCAGTGATGGCCTTGCACCACAAAAGTGAGCCATCTCGCTGGCCTGGAAGTACCTTCCCCAGAGCAAAGCTTCTGGTCACACCACTTGGCATCTGTTGTATGCACCAAAGTGGGCTTCTCCTGCAACACCGTGAGGAAGGCGTCACGAACATCCAAACTCGCAAGAACTGCATCATGGTTTTCCTTCATCTCAAGAAAGATCTGGTTGGAAGGATCCTTGAAATGATGCTTCCACTTGCAGGAGAGAAGAAGCTCTCACGCTCAGGTTCAATCCAAGCAAACTCTCTGACCACAAACCTCGACCGCCGCAACCAAATTGGATTGCCCTTGCTGTCGTGCTTCTCCCTCCAAGTACGTACGAACCTTGTACTGAGCACCTTGGAGTCCTCAGGAACCGTGTCCGGGCTCTGAAGGACTGCAAGCTTTTCAAGGCGGTGCAGCTCAACTCGATCAGCCGGGGCTAGAGGATCAAAAAAACAAGGGGGGGCCTGAGAACCCAAAAGCAAAACGACAGCAAACATATTTGAGTAATGTAAGATACAGATTAGTGTGGGGATACACAATTGTGTCCACAGACTCCAAAATAATTGTGTATCCCTGGAAATGATGGAGGGGTACACATTTGTGTCCACAGGATTTTGGAGTAAGTTGCTAAGGTTTTTTTATTAATTTTTTAATTGTTTTAAATTATTTTATATTTTTGTTTAATTGTTTTAAATTGATAATTAATTACCATTTACAAAAAAATATTTTTATATATTCAATCTTTAATTTAACAAATTTAAACATTACATTCTCAAAACAATATTTTTTTGATATATTCAATTTTTAATTTGACAATTTTAAACATTATATTTATTGTGTCAGGATACACTATTGTGTCCTGGTCTTGTGTCTGGGGTACACTATTGTGTCTTGGTCTTGTTTCTGTTCAAACATTTTTCATTTTTTTAAGCTTTTTTCTTTTACTTTTTATTTCCCATCATTGAAATTTTCCAATGTCCTTCCACAGAAAATTACATCCAGTTCCACAATAGTATGGGGATACACTATTGTGTCCAGCTGCTTTCCTGAGGTGATGATTTTGATTTTTTCAATCATTTCCTTTACCTTTTCCTTTGCTAAAGCTTTTTTCCTTTTAATTAATTACTTTCTTAGTTTCTTTCAGTTGAAATTCTCAGAAATGCCCAATTTCCCGAAATATATGATGCCTTATTAAAACACAATTAAAAAAACATCACCCAAACAATTTTTCAAGGGGGTAGTCCATGAGCAACCCTGATACACAATAGTATGGCTTGTTTGGGGGGTACACTATTGTGTCCTGCTGCTTCCTGAAGTGATTTTGTTTTTTTGCAATCATTTCCTTTACCTTTTCCTTTGCTAAAGTTTTTTCCTTTTAATTAATTAATTACTTTCTTAGTTTCTTTCATTTGAAATTCTCAGAAATGCACAATTTCCCAAAATATATGGTGCCTTTTTTAAAACCCAATTAAAAAACATCACTCAAACAATTTTTCACGGGGATAGTCCATGGGCAACCCTGATACACAATAGTATGGTTTGTTTGGGGGGTACACTATTGTGTCCAGCTGCTTCCTGAGGTGATTTTTTTTGCAATCATTTCCCTTTCCTTTTCCTTTGCTAAAGTTTTTGTCCTTTTAATCATTACTTTCTAAGCTTCTTTCATTTGAAATTCTCAGAAATGCCCAACTTCCCAAAATATATGACGCTTTATTAAAACACAATTCAAAAACATCACTCAAACAATTTTTCAAGGTGGTAGTCCATGAGCAACCCTGATCCACAATAGTGTGGTTTGTTTGGGGGTACACTAGTGTGTCCAGATGCTTCCTGGGGTGGTTTTTTTCAAACATTCCCTTTACCTTTTCCTTTGCTAAAGTTTTTTCTTTTATGGTATGTCTATGGTACTACTATTGGATTTCTGTGGAAGTGTTTCGGGATTTCCATGATGTTTCTTTCATCTTTCTGGAGGATTTTTATGGGATTTCTGAAGGGGTGCTTGCTATGGGAGTTCTATGGTATTCTTATGGGATTTCCATTGGATTCCTATGGGATTTCTATGGT